TATACTATACAACGCGTGTGACTGTGACCCTTAATAAAATTAAAATCACTTGCTGTTGACATTTTGACAGCCATTTGCTCCTGCCTTTTTCTTATTAACAAAATTCTGTGCAAAGGATGTGCCCCAGTCCTCTCTACAGAGAGGTCCATTTCCTGGACAGTAATTTCCTAAGATTTCAGCTGAAAGATAAGGTAACTTTAATGAGGTATCCGTTAAGGTAACTCTGGCCTTCACAAACAGAGCATAAGCCTCGCACGCAAGTGTTATGATACAACATTAAATTTCTGGTAAAAACAAAAAAATTTCGTTGGCAAACAAATTTGTTGGGAGGTTTCTTTTACAAAATTGTTTGCATTATGGCCAGAAATTAGTGAATCAAAAGAAGGCGGGGGTAGGCCTCCTCATCCTCATCCTCATCGTCCCCTCATCCGAGCCCCTCCTCAAGAGTGAAAAATCGAATGCAAACAAGAAAATTGGTTGGCAGGATTGTGTCTGATATGAAAATGCGTCAACATAAAAGGCAGATTCGATTAACTCTCACGAATGGCGGCAGGGCGGGCGAGGATTGTGGATGGCTTTGAGATGGGGGTACAATACTGTGAAATCCAATCAGTAGCCCCACCCACAGCCTAGCACCAAAAAATGTGGATGGGTAGGGTGGGGAAAGCGGCATTGAAAATTAGGTAAATTACCGCATGTGCTGGTTGCCACACTCCTGCCTTTGCCACTGCCTCCTCTATCTCTGTATTTATCCCCAGTGCCAACAAAACCGCGACACACCGCAAATCGCGACCAACCAGAGGGTACGGCTAGAGATACAGATGGTGCAGGGGGCTTCAGATACATTTGGAAGAGGCCTTCAGATACATTTGGGATGAGAGGGAGACAGAGAGGATATATAGGGACCGCAGGCGAAACAAATGAGGGAGTAGGGGATGCTTATGAGTTATGTGACCGTCCCCACCCACACCCACACCCACACACAGTGCAAACATTCAAATTTCGATTATCCAACAGGAAAACGCCTGCCTGTCCGCCTGTCTGCCTTTCCGCATGATTTAATGACTGATTTGTTCATATATTAAAAGAATTTATTAAAATTGCACACACACACACTATGGGAGGGGGCAGCCAGTTCTCTTTCCCCCCCTTTGCACAGACAGAAGTCAGAGGTCAGGTGGGGCGAGAGGAAACACCGCCAACATACCAAGCGTCCCACCCACCATGCAAGTGGGTGTACCATCCACTGGTACATTCATAAAGCGCCGTTGGCGATAAAGTTAATTTGCTGATTACAAAGTAACCTCGTTGCCATAATTTATGAGACAAGGTGATAAGGGGAGAGAGAGAGAGAGTCTGTGTCCGACAGAGGACTAACTGCAAATGCGCTGCGAATGGCCGAAGATATGGAGAGGATCTTCTTCTGATATGAATCCAGACTAGAAGAGCGTGAGAGAGCGCTTAGCTACGACTGGGGCGGGATTTTATTCATTCTAAATTGATGAGAATTTAGTAGATAATGAGCTGATGATTATTTTAATTTTAATTTAAATTCAATTATAATTAAAGTATCAATCGGTGGTCCATTTGTTTCAGCTACAAATAAATCCTTCCATTAATTTTGCGCTAAAAATAAATGAATCTACTACAAAACTCATTCACCCAATATTCGCATATGCCGCACTTTCCACTGTTTTATCACCTACAGTTGTGGCACTCAAAACATAAAAAATAAATTCACTAAAGCTGCGTCGCTGACCAAGCGACTCCTAGACGCTAGACGGGTAGACGGTGTCCTGGCCGCGGGGCGTGCGCGGCTCCAAAGGACAACACAGTGCCACCTAATTACCGCAAAAACGTTGTTGTCGCAGATTTCTGTTTAGATATTATTAAATCATGCCAGTGCACACATGAGTGGCCTAGCAAATTAGAAACATTCAAAATGTATAATAAAAATGCCATACATTTCAAGAGACGGGCATATATACATCTGTATGTAACTTTGTGGCACCAGAGAGATGCGATTGTTAGGGTGGTCGCAAAAATATGTCAAGCTTATTATGATGCCATTACTTATGATTTTCTGCCATGTATTGTTCTCAATGTAGTTTAGCGTTCATTGCCGCGTTTTTCACACACTTTTGCCACTTGTACTGCTTGACGCCTTGCACATGCACGCACTCTCACTCTCCCAAAAAAAAAACTTAAGCTGGTCCCGTTATTTTAATTCGCCTTCTTTTCACTGGAAACAAGCGTGGGAAGCAGCGCTGAAACTGCGACGCAATTGCCAATTTACGGCCCGTTTTTTTTTACAATTGTTCCTTATTCCTTGGCTCTCCACACACATTTGCTGACATTTTCTTAGTTTTTTAAACACCTTTCATCACTTTTGCGGCTCTTCAGAAAACTTTTTCGGCAGATTTTCTTGTTATAAACTTGCTACACTTACCAGACGGGTTTTTTTGTACTTTTCCGCACATTTTTCACTATTTTTCAGGACATTTAACTGCCCTACACGTGCATCTGCGCCGGGAGCTTAAATTTGACTTAGCTCTCTCTCTCTCTCTCTCTTCCCACAACATTCGGTTCGGAAGGCGAACGAGCGTAGGCGGTGAGAGCATTTGAGAGTGATTTTGCATTTGCTATGTGTGTATGTTGTTGCTTTTGGCAGCAAGAGTTTCGTTGAAGAGTATTACCCTTTGATTCTCTCTTCACACTTGTTGCTGTGCAATGACCTGAAGCGGGTGGCCAAAGTTAAGTATTCCTTGAAAGAGCGCAGCTTTGCGGAGAGGATCTAAGAGAGGCTTTACTTTTGCACTGTGTTTGTGCTGTTAATGTTGTTGTTATTGTAGCACACGCTGCAATAAGCGTGGGAGGAAAATGCGAAGTGCGTGCGTTGGTTGATAAGATCATTAGCATAGAAAAGGTGCATTAAAGCATTAATTTGAAGTTTTTTTTTTTTATTTTCAATGACCTAAAGCGGCGGCGAAAAGTTAAGAAATCCTTGGTAGTGAGCAATTACGCTGGGAGAATCTAAGAGCGAATTTGTTTTTGCTGCTTTGTGCATTGCTTGTTGTTGTTGGTTTAGTTTTGGATAATTGTCTAGTCTCTGCAAGGGTGGGATGCAAAGAGGGTGGGTACATGAGTGACATGATGGATTAACATGGATATACTCGTCTACTCGTCTAAAGAACTTAAAAACTTTTCGTTTTCATTAGGATCTTAGTTCTGAGCTCAAAAATATGAATACAAAATCTTTTGGAATCTGAAATAAAACGAACTAGTTCTTGGAAGTCTCATACACTGTGCTATTCTCTATGAGAACTAGAGGTTTCGTTCAAAAATAAGTCCAACTTGAAATCCTTATAAATTGTTACATTATCCTTCTAGTATTTATATTTGTATAGAAATTGTTTATACTTAGTCAGTTAGATAGGTTATTAAACTTTTTTTTTTTTTTTCTTGTTTTAGTTTTATATAAATTTGTATTACTTTTATACTATATTTCTCTATTATATTATTAAAGATTATATTATTATTAAAGATTTACATAAACCTTAGTACATTTCTGGGTAGTACGAGTATTTCAGATTCAAAACATTCCTTATCCTATCCTTAAAATTTCCAAAACCGTTTAAGACCATGCCCATTCCATTCAGTTTAATGTGGAGAATGTCCAAACCTCTCCACTTTATTTATTTCGCAGCGAATCCTCGCATTGCGATTTCTTTGATACGTTTTTTCTGTTTATTTACTTGATATCCCTGGAGTCTGTTGGCTTCACCTGGAACCTGGAACCGGACCATAACCCCAGATGGTGCCAACCGTTGCCTTTTGCCCTTTTTTTTTTAGCCGGTCGTTGCTTTCTTTTATTCCCTGTTTCTCAAGATAAAAACTCGCCAGAGCTGGGGAAAATATCAAAAGGAACAACAACAACAAAATCTGCCGCTAAACTGTTAAAAAATTCAAGCACAAATATTTGTTTCTTGGTCTGTTTGTTAGCTTGTTTGTAAAACTAATGAAATTTTTGCCATATTCGACCCCAAAGAGAGGGCAAAAAAAAGCATAAAACTTGACCGCAAAAAAAAAATTACAAAAAAAAAAGAGAACACCAAAAAAATTAACGCCACCTTGGAAGCCCCCTACCCCATAAAAAGGAAAGAGTGGGATATATAGTGCACCCAGAAAATGGAATGAGAAGGAACAACAAGGGCAAAGGAAAAAAAAAAAAACGACAAATCAAAAGGCAAAAGTGCAAAAGACAAAGCCAGCGGGCGAGTCGGAACCGTCGGAATCGCGCCAGCCAGATTATTATGTCAAGTCACGTTTATGAGCGTAATTTCGACAGGACACCCCCAAGACACCCGAGCCACATCCAAACCGCACATCCGAATGGAGCGGCAGCGGCAGCGCAGCTTGTTAAGCGGCAAACGCGACATTGCAGCAGTTAAGACACCGCCCGCGGCCAGTCAATAAACCGTTAAAAACTCACTAAAAAAACAGAAGGACGATGAGATAGATATATATTTTGGTAGATGTTCATAAAGATGGCTGGAAATCAAATAGCCGATATGAAAGATAAATATCAGAACTTCAAATGGAATTAAAAAATACTTTGGCATAAGCTTTGGCAGTAAGTAAGAACGGATGTGGAATAATGATATAGATCCCTTCATTAACCAAAATTAAAAGTATTTTTGGAGAATATTACATACATAAATATTTATATATGGTGGATTCTCTAGGGATTAATATTATTGTAAATTGCTAAAAGACCGCTAAGAGAGTAGTACTTGATATGATAAGAGCAAAATTAAGATAAGAAAACGGAATATAGTAATATTCCATTGTTCGTTTCATATCATAAATCGATTAAGCTTAGCGATATTGAATGCATCAAGCAGGCCAAGCTATTTCTAATAAATGTACATCAATACATCCAGGGAAAACAAAACGTTAGTTTTCCAAAAATATTCTCATTCAATTCAGTTGCTACAAAAATGTTCCATCCAGATTACGAAAGGCCCAGCACGGGACCCCACGAGTTCATTGGCGTTGAAACAGAAGGACAGCCCATACCCATGGGATCCTGCGTCATTGGAATTCGCTACGACAAAGGAGTACTCATTGCTGCCGATACAGCGGTGTCGGAGGCATCAGTGCCTCGGTACCAGGATGTGGATCGAGTCTACAAGATCAACAAGCAGATTATTATGGGCGGAGGTGGCAACTTTCACGATGTCCAAATGTACAGGCGCACAATTGAAAGGCAGGTCATTTCGGATCGTATCTATCAGGATGCATTCGAGATGAAGGCCAAGGCCCTAGCCTGCTGGTTGAGGAATACCTTATGTGCACGTCGCATGGCCATGGAACCCACGAATGTGGCTCTAATTGTGGGTGGCATGCAGCCAAATGAAGGACCTTACCTGTCCCTCATTGACAGTGCCGAAAGCATTTCCGATGACTATGTGGCAGCCACTGGACCTTCCCGGCAGCTGGTAATTTCCATGGTGCGCGACAAGAAGCCCCAGGAGCGGGATTTCACGGAGACCGAGGCTTTGGGCATGATTCGCACATGTATGGGGAAGCTACAGTGCCGCGATCCCTGTGCAATTACCCAGTACACGGTGGGCGTCTGCAACGCCAACGAATGCCACATCGAAGGACCCTACAAAGTCAACGAAGACTGGACTCTTGCCCGTCGCAAAAAAGGGGAGCAGGCGACTAAGAACATCATTTCAAACTCAAGTACGATTTAAATCTCCAAGCAAACTTTTCATTTTTAATATTTCATACATACAAATAATAAATTAATTAATTAATGTTAAATATGGTGGGGGTTATATAGGGGGTTCCCAAATTGACGTTGATTTATCGATAAATACAATAAATAAAAACGAAATTAAGCTTTAAAGCGCCCCCACGAGTAGAGTAGCGGAACCTGGCTCTATTATGTGTCCTTTATCATTGGTATTCCACGTTTTGTATCCTATCTTCGTTCACGTTCTATATTTTAGTACATTCCATGTTCTATATTCTTCTATATTAGTTTGAAATCATAGACAATATTCTATATTTTATTTTCTATCTTCTATGTTCTACCAATTCTATGTTCCGGAAGTTCTGAGAGCGCAAGCGCCAAACAAAAAGCATAAAATTCCCCGAAACCAACCTTTGCCGTAAGCTTTGTCGGAATTTCTATCCAGTAATAGAACCATAGCAACAACACGTCAAAGCTTCATATAAAAATTGTAACTTTTTAACACTTTAATTGAAGATTTTTAATCTGGATTGACAGAATATTCTTGTTGTAAAAACCTTTCTGTATAAATCACTATTTAAATGTTTATGCTTATATTTTAGTGCAAACTTTTTTATTACATGAATTATTTTTTTATTTGTTTATTATTACTTATTTATTATATGTTTTTCACTTATCATTTTAATTGTTCAAAGAACGACAAAGTTACAAAGTTTTTAATTAATTAGCACGCATTCGCCTAAACTATTTGTTTAATTTTTTAAAATGTTTTTGATGGTGTTTCATTTTTAAATTTGTAAGATAGCCATATGTTAAGGAGCGATTCGTATAAATTTAAAAATTGACTTTATTCTCGACTATTTTCAATAGCGACAAATTCAAGCCGCGTGTTCGTGGTGAAGGGTTATAGAACATTTATATCGAAATTTCAATACAATGAATGAATGACTTCAATGAACCGTTCAGTTTTCTCCCTAGTCTTCGACTCCCGATCTCAAGGGCAGTGCAAGCCACTCAGACCACCCACGATATGCACTCGGGCTATGCTCCGACAGCAAGGCATTATCTACGATTAGTGGTCGAGCGAGATAACCAAAGGCGAGCATGCATTTAAATGAAGAGTGCTGATTAGCGCAAAGAGCTTGTTGCCAGCGGCTGCCTCGAACACAGCCATACAACCCAAAAGTAGTCTCGAGCAGTCTACTTATGTTGATTTTTAAGAACTTAAGTGATAAGATAATTATATATATTATTCTACGTTTACGGGTTTGTTAAATGTATTAAGTATTTGTGCCAAAAAAACACAAAACACTAAATTCTAATTGGGCAATAAGAAAATTCTCGCCAAATCTAGATAAGAAAACGATATAAAACGAACTCCACGGCACTCTCCAGTCAGTTTTCAGCCGTTTATAATGCAGTCAAAGTGGATCTACGGATTGCTGGTGTTTTTCCTCTGCAAAAGCATCACAGGATTGGCGGATGTTGAAGGGGTAAAGTTTCGAGTGTACTCATAAGATGGAAGTTTGAAAAAAGCCAACAAAAATCTTCTTACAGCGTGTCATAATCGAAACGGACAGAACTGATATTCAAGAATTGTATTTGGATTATCCGTATAGCCACTGTCCTATTGATTCCAGTGCCCATGGTATATATACAATACAGGTAGGGGAACTAGATCCCTTCCCAGTGTTCTGCAATGCAAAGATGGCGGGTCCTGGCTGGACTGTGATCGCCCGTCGAACCAACAAGGAGCTGAATTTCTACCGCAACTGGGATGGGTACAAGAGAGGATTTGGTGACATCACAGGCGACTTCTTCATAGGATTGGATAAGCTGCACGCCATTACAAAGTCACAGAACCAAGAGCTATACGTACACCTGGAGGACTTCGTGGGGAACACGAGATATGCCAAATACGATGAGTTCCATATCGAAAGTGAAAATCAATTATATCGAATGTCAAAGTTGGGCGCCTTCACTGGAGATGCGGGTGATTCGATGATTGAGAGCAAAAATCACAAATTTTCCACCTTCGACAGGGACAACGATAATGATCAGGGTAACTGTGCAGTTCAACGCATAGGAGCCTGGTGGTTCAACCATTGTACCTGGAGGTATGTCTGTACATTTTCTATTTTAATGATTGTTTCTAATCGCACAATTTCAGTAACCTTTTCGGCATTTATGTGAATGGTTCCGTATCCAGCATGAACGGAAAGGGAATATGTTGGAATACTTGGCTCGGATCTGGCTATTCCTATAAATCAATTCAAATGATGGTTCGTCCAAAGTGCTCTTGCCCTAAATAATAAAATAAATATTAAACTGCAACGTATTCCTGTAATTCCGCATTAAAAGTAATGACAGGAAGTTAAGGGAGGAAAGTGGCTAAAATATGTTTGTTTTGCTACACGACATCTTCGATATTCCACGTTTTATAATCTATCTTATATTTTCTTAATTTCTTTGTACACTGGATGTTCGGAAATTAGAGCATCACACAAATTAGAGAATTCCAGAAATTAGAACCGAGCATTTTATTGCATTGGCGAAGAATTTTTGTATTGCCCACACAGCTTTGACTTTTTGGTTGAAGTAAATATAAAAATGGGAATCCTCGAAATTTTCGTCTTGTATACAATTCGGTCAAATGCATGTGTAATTTGATAAGCCTGTGGAAATTTGTGTTAGTTGTTTTATTAACTATATATTGCTGGCGCAATTATTTTTAATGTTTTTTTATAATTTTCTTTCAAATAAAAATTTCTTTCCAGAAATTATAACTTTTCAGAAACTAGAAACACCCCAGGAGAAACCAAGTGGTTCCAATTACCGAACTTCCACTGTATATTCTATTTGCTTAGTTCCAAGGCATGTAAATGTTAATGTATTTTGTATAATCCATCTGCTAACAGTAACAGTTGAATTAACTCAATGTTTTATACATTTTTTTGTTCAGTGGACTTTAAAAGCTTTTTGTGAAAACCTTTGGCGCAAGCTTTGTCAGAATTTCTATACAGTATAAGAACCATACATGGAAACAAAATGTCAAAGCTTTTTACTTGGAATCCTCATCCTCGTAAATCGTGAAACTGTTTTCAGACCGCAAAATATTCTGGAATTCTTTCTATAATCATTTGAAAATCAATTGTGAAGTCGTTTTAAAATGTTTATTTTAATCTCTTGCCATGAACGATAATTTTCGAAAATATTTATTATTATTTATTTCCTTTTAATATGCCTCAACCTCTGCCAATAAAATCGCGGCACTTGGAGCAGTCCAAAGTGGAGAAACTCAAGGAGACTGATCATGGAGCAGCCGAGACACAGCTGAAAAATGCCACCAAATGAAACTGTGACACAGAAGATACGATACCGAGATAAGGATGCTGCAGGATGCTGTAGGATAATCTCAACACATACCCAACAAATCCACCCAAGTGTAGATCAGATTCGTTTTGTAGATCAACATGGAGGGCTTCTTGAAGAACACATTTAGCCACATGCCATTGACCAGCGATGCGTTGACCTGCTGCCATGGCTGCAGGACGCTCTTTCGCAGCTCCGTCACGAGAGTCAGCGACTTGCAGTTGTGCAGACAGTCGCAAATGAGACCCGCATCCTTTGTGTGGACATAGGGATGCTCGCCGGACTGTTCAATGTTCTGCAGCAAGTGATTGTGGGCCGCAAGGCAGGGCAGATCGATTGCCTGGCAGGCGGTGTAATTCGAGGGCGGATAGAACAGGTCCAAGGTGCAGTTGCAGTAGCGGAGCAGGTACCTCTGCTGGCACTCGGCCCGACAGTTCTCCTGCATGTACTTCTGCCCCATCAGAGTGTGAAAGTGATCGCTCTCCTGCTCGTAGTCCATCACACAGCGGCGCCGACTTGAGGGCAGGCTCAGGGTTGCCTCATCAAAGTAATGATAGACAGCGCTAACCGCCACATTGGTGCGTGTGTGTGGCACCAACGCGATGGGATCACCAAACCACACAGAGGACTCCACCACGTTGAGCTGTGGGTTATAGGTAGATAAGTAGCTATTCTGCTTTCAGCAAGGATTCCACACACAATAAATCCCTTGGAACGCAGATTCCCCGGTGCATGGTGATCTGAGTGAAGTTGTAGGCGTACCAACAGTCCCGTACCAATGCCATAGGCAGCATTGCGTCGCTGTTCGAGCTCATTGAAGGCCAGACAGTGACCCAAAGGCAGGCGACGTGGCCGAAAAAGATGACAGCAATTCCATGCGGCCATATGCCAGCTACAATCGCTCAGGATCTCATCACATTGCCAGGCCATATCGCTGACAATCTGCGTGAAATTCAGATGATTGAGCGACTGCAGCGGCTGATTCGCCAGCGAATCAAAGACATTAAATCGATGGAAACTCAAACCATCATAGGCGGTTAGTATGCGCTCGAACAGTGGCTCCTGGGCTGCGGTAATGTTGTATCGACTTCGAACCTCTGCCAATCGTGACCAATTCAGGCGATTCTTGTTGCATATTATGACCACTGGAAAGGCAATCTGCTGGATGGGGGCATGTGAGTGGGCGATTATGGTCTGAAAGTGCCTGTTGTTATAGCGCTCCGCCAACAGATAGCTCACATAAATCAGCACAGAGCAGGCGCACATCAAGGCCAAAGACCAGAGAACTCTAGAGCGGAAAAACTTGGCGTAAACTTGAGCTATTTGATTTTGCTTTTACTCACCGCATGCGTCGTCGCATGGTTGGTAAAAACAGAACATATAAACCGTGTATATGCGATCGGGATATATAGCTATCGAGTAATTGCATCCAGTTTGTTGAGGCTTCTGGCTTGCTGCCCTTTGATCCTTCCGTTGCATCCTGACACTCACGCCATGCCACCACTGGCAGTCGGCTCTGAAATTTTCCCACTTTACTGGCGTACATTTTGTAGTTCTCTGCCACGGGGTGCTTGCCTTTTATAGAACTATTTTGGGTGGGTTCTGGATTTTTAGGGCATATTTTGGGTAAAGTTCCTGTGTTGAGGGGTTTGCCAGTGGCTGAGTTTAGCCGCATAGAACGGTTAAAAGTTTAACATTATCGACATAATTCACGCTATCGATATTTAATACGATAGATTTAGTGATATTTGGCGTCGGTAAATTAATTTAGTGTGCAATAGATCTGCAATTTTGTAGCTGTCAGATATGAAAACCGGTTAAGTTCTAATCGATTTAAAACGAATAGACTAAAGTCGATACTTTTAGAGAGTTGTAGTCGCTTAGCTTATTGAGAATGTGATACGATTCATGATAATTCAACATTTCGTAGTTTGCAGACATAAAAGCCTTGTTCCCTAGCTAAAACTTCTATAAACTCGATTTAAAATCGATCAATTTAGAGATTTTGAGTCGCTTAAATCATTTTGAATGCGTTAATGTTCATAAAAATCCACCATTTCGTAGCTTTCAGTATTGAAAACAATTTTATTTAAGACATAATTGTATATTATCGTGTTATAAGCAGTTATCGATAATAATATCGATAGCGATTATGGGTGTGAGTCATTTAGAATGCGCTTATCAATTATTTTGAAGGGAAAACCACATTAAATAAAAATTTAAAGGGTACCCAATCGTCCACCTGAACTTCCATAAATTTTCTTCGGGCTGCTCCATTGTGAGTGCTTTCTAATCGTTGTGTGCAAATCATTTGCGATTGATTGCATTCAATTGAATTCATTTCGATGCCAATTAGCTTGACACATGTACTCCGTACACCGTTTGGGATACCGGGTGGGATGCAAATCTCTTGGGGGATATGCAATCGATTGGCGTGACATTTAGCGGCAGTCCGACAGTGGCAGACTTGAGGGTTAATAGGAGCCAAACACGTCAAAACCACCAGCGGGTAGCACTAGTACTAGAACATGACAAGGCGCTAAACGGCATCTAATTACCAATGAAACGCCATCACGCATATGGGGGGGGGCCAAAAGCGATATAAAAGAGCTATCCGTCACATTGGTTGGATTCAGTTGGTTGAAATCCGACATGACGCTGGTTTATTTTCCGCCGCCGCCGCCGCAGCCACAGCAATCGCTGGCCCGTCGCTATGCCCAACAGCTTGGAAAATCTGCCTGGCAGTTGGCTCTAAGATTTGGCAAACGGACCACGATTCATGGCTTGGACAGGCTGCTGGGAGCGCGGGCCAGTCGCTGGGAACGATTCGTGTGGCTGTGCACTTTTGTGAGCGCTTTTCTGGGCGCCGTCTATGTCTGCCTGATACTCTCGCGGCGCTACAACGAGGGACACTTCCAGACGGTGGTGGACAGCACCCGATATCCGGTATATCGCATACCCTATCCGGTGATCACCATCTGCAATCGGAATCGCCTCAATTGGGATCGTTTGGGTCAGGCCAAGAGCAGATTCCTGCCGAATGTTACAGATGCCGCACAATTGAATCTATTTGAACGGATTGTTGGCAGCTACGATGACGTTAGTTTCGGGCACTTTGAGTCCTTTGAGCGACTGCGCCATCAGCCCACGGAGCTTCTGAGTCACGTTAACTTCAGTTTGGTTGTGGATTTTATGAGCTGGCGCTGTGACGAACTACTGACCGACTGCCTGTGGCGGCACTATGGCTACAATTGCTGTGAGATCTTCTCAAAGCGTCGCAGCAAGAACGGACTGTGTTGGGCCTTCAACTCGCTGGAAACCATCGAGGGCAGGCGCATGCAATTACTGGATCCCATGTGGCCCTGGCGTACAGGTTCCGCTGGTCCCATGAGCGCGCTGTCCGTGCGTGTGCTCCTGCAGGTGGATAAACACTGGCCGGGCCGAAAAAACGAAAAGGGCATCGATGTGATGGTCACAGAGCCGTTTGTTTGGCACAAGAATCCCTTCTATGTACCCGCAAATACGGAGACAACGCTGGAGATTGAACCCATCATTTATTTCTATGATAATGATACGCGTGGAGTGCGTTCCGATCAGCGACAGTGCGTCTTCGATGTGAGTATTGCATTCAGTCATCGTTTAAGTTTTCTCTAACTTTAAACTCTTGACAAAAAACAAAAACAAAACAACAACAAAAAGGACGAGCATACGAGCCAGGATTTCAAGTCGCTGCTGGGCTACGTTTACATGATTGAGAATTGCCAATCGGAGTGCCATCAGGAGTACTTAGTGCGCTACTGCAATTGCACAATGGACCTGCTCTTTCCACCCGGTAAGCACGTTTCGTTCAACCGCAGACAACAACAAAAAAAAAAAACCTTAAAAACCTTCATGATTTCCTGTGCCACGTGCCACATGCTTCGTGTGCTTCCAGGCCAGTATCGGTCGTGCCGTTCACAGGATTTACTCTGCCTGGCAGAGCACAATGGTTCGTAGACAGGCCCAGCCCAGTCCAGCCCATACAGCTAGGCTACTTGTTCTAATCCCAGGCTACTGTACTGCATCCATCCTTAGACCTACTTCGGTACTCACATCAGCCCGGGGAGGAGGGCTTTGTGCGCAACAATTTCCAGGGCATGGTCTGTAAATGCTTTCGGAATTGTTACTCCCTCAACTACATTTGCGATGTCCGGCCCGCCTTTCTGCCGCCCGATATCTATGGGAATTACTCATATGTGGATTTGGATGTGCATTACCGCTTCGAGACCATAATGGTGTATCGCACCAGTCTTGTCTTCGGTTGGGTGGATCTGATGGGTAAGCAAAGAGAGCAGAGAAACAGCAAAGATGCCCCGCTTAAATGTCACACATTTCTTTCAGTTAGTTTTGGTGGCATTGCTGGTCTCTTTTTGGGCTGCTCGTTAATCAGCGGCATGGAATTGGCATATTTTCTGTGCATCGAAATACCCGCCTATGGCATCGAGGGACTGCGTCAACGTTGGCTTGCCCATCGACAAATGGCCACACGCATCGACTCTACGGCAACGCCCACACTTAATTTTCGCCAGACCATGCCCAGTCAGCTGTTGGAGCAGTATTTAATGCAGCTTAAAACGGAGCAGAGTCAGCGGAAAACGTTGAAACAAAAGGCCGCCAATCTACACAACTGGCAACGCCTGACATTCGCCCATAAGCATGTTATTAGCAAATGAATAATGCACACGAATAAAATTTGTATTTGTTCAGGAAATCATTGGCAAGAGTGGCAAGTGTGGCAAGTGTGGCATGAGTGCCAAGTGTTGTGGTGGGGCCCAGAACCAGCTGCCAACAAGTCAACAAACAAATTGTCCTCATTTTTCAGGCTTGCAATTTGCCCCAGAACCATTGGCATCCCTTACCAACCAACCAACCAACCAACCATCCAAACATCCATCTATCCCTTCCATTCAAACCACATAACGAAGGAACTCCCAAGAGTGGTGTGGGGTTGGGTGGTGGGGGGAAGTGTCTGCCTTTGGGTTCTCCTGCCTCCTACTCTGGAGGTTCTGCTGGCCGCACGTTGACAGCTTCATTGCCAGACGACATTGTTAATCAAAATTGAGGTTAAGTTGTGCTCCCCAAGCGGATTGCTTGCCACAGTCTTTCGTTTATTGAGACATTCCCTTGGCTTTTGGGTAGGTTCTAGTTCTAGGTTCTATGCTCCAGCCACAGCCACAAAGTCGGCTTCATTGCAATTAAACCAAAAGTTTTTTGTTTTGTTGTCGTAGGTCCAGGACTTTTGTGGGTACCTTTGGGAGCCGAAGGCGAGTGCCCTTTCCATTTAATCACAACAGTGCGTATGCATAATTTTATTTATTTATACATACGTATTTTCACCGCATTTTCAGCACATTTTCAGCGCGCTATATGAGTGTGTCTGTGTGTGTGTGTGAAAACAGCAGGCAATCATTTATCATTTCAATGGCGCGACGGCATTATTATGCTTATTACTGTGGCCCAAAGGAGGCGTGGAAATCGCTTGCCGACAGACATACAGACTGATAAGCGGGGGTAGATTTTTATAGTGGCAATGTGAAATTGCAGGAAAAAATTATATGACTCAACCTTTAAATTCATCTAAAGTTGTTTTTTTTTGCAAAGATTTTTACCTTTTCATATGCCATACACGGCGAGAAAGGTTCTAAAGTTAGGTACAAATGCTTAAATGTGTGTACTTTGAACCATTTTTGGGGCCATGAACAAGATAATAAATCAGAAAATGTTAGAGAACTAAATATCTTAATATATCGCTTCTGATGCGTGTTAAATCATGTCTTAAAATGTATTGAATATTTATTCCGAATCTAGATAGATTGTTAGCAACAATTTGGTAGATATATTTGAATGCTTGGATCTATTTTGCTGTGTTCTGTACATAAGAAAATACAGAATTTCAACTGGTAATGGAATCGTTTAAGTAGTATTAGGTTAGTATTATGTATGCATGTACTTACATACATATATATGAATGTCCCAAAAATCGAAAAATGCCCTAAAAAGTAGAGGAAATAAAATAATAAGACATGTAATTTTTAGAATAAAAAAATTTGATTGTAATATTTTTTATTAAAATCAAAATTTCAATTTCAATAAAGTTAAATAATAAATAATTTGTATTAATAAAATCAGAATTATAATTTAAATTTGTATTTTAAAAAGTGAAAAGTAATTTTTTTCCTTTTAAATTTATGTTAAACAAATAAAAATAACTCTCAAAAAATGTTTAAATACAAATGTACAAAAAGGTTTATTTTTTCTTGGACCAAAACTCACACATAAATCTGTTCTGTGATCGCTTAAATAAATCAATATCTTTCATAGGTAAATACTGATTTTGTTTAAATTTATCGGGGTTATAGCCAATATAGATATTGATAGATAGCAATTTCCTGCACATCCATAAATTCATTAAATCTTATTTTTGTTGGAACTATCCTTAATATTGCATTTGTTTCTATTTTTGTTGAGGTTTTTCCTAACTGAAAGCGTACATATTTAACAGTCTCC